TTATATATGTTGTCATAGTGCTTTTTGTTCCTTGCACCTTTGACCAACCATACAACATGTGGGTTCCCAATCATAATAGATCATGATCTGGTTGATACATTCACCATTTGAACAATCTATATATGTATACTTTCATAGACTTAGGCAGTGGCCTAGTTAGTTATTTCCATATCAATGAAAATTTTGACATAAGAGATCCTCTCAAACGTAGATATACATGTTGCATCAACATATAAAGGTTTACAAGACGATTGATTTGGCAATTGCTATAGTCTGTACTAGTTAATTTCTTTTTGAAATCAAATGTTCTTCAACTAATTAAACCACTGATATACATTTGGCTTTGACACAAAGTTCAATTGACTAGCAATGGATCCAATTGATTGATTTCTCAGACATAGTATTGAACTCTCAGAGATTTATCGTCTTCTCCTTCTTTCGCCTACCTCTCTTCCTCATTTTCCGAGGGGTGCAGGATAGTAATTTTAAAAAAAATGTACATACTCAAATTTTCAGTCAATATAACACTTAAAAAAAATACAATATATGGATGTTATATTAATATGATGATATAATATAACTAAAATATCAAGAAAAATAAATTTAAAAATTAATCCACAAATTAAATCACCACATACGAAAAAATCACTACAAAAATAAATGAAGTCCTAATTTTTTTTGTTTTCTCTAATTGTGCAAAAGTATTATTGTTACCTTGTTCTGATCCTACGATGCAAAATAATACCTAAAAATATTACACATAAAATAAAAACAAATTTTGTAAATGAAACTTAACCAAGCTTATGAGATAATCTAATTAATTTATAATAGATATATTTGTAAATTATGTATATCTGACAACGAAGTTCTATTGATTTGTCAATTGTGAAGCACCATAATTTTTTAAAAAAATATCTTTTGTCAAAACAAGTGTATACGACTTCCCAACAGCAATGTCAAACATGTTGTATATTGAAGAAAGAAACGTAACTGTAAAGAGTGAATCTGAGAAAAACAAAAAGGACAGAAGGATGAGAATAGTAAATAGTGTCACTCAGAGAAAATAACCAAACAACACAAAGCACAGTTTGTTGGGAATCAAAAAATAGTGCTAAAAAGTAAGTAGTTTATAGATTATTGCTTCCCAACACCTTATAAATAGTGACTCTCTCACTAAAGGTGACTTTGTCTTCCCTCATCTATCTTGTCTTCTTTCCATAGAGGTTTCTCAATCTTGTTTCTTTCTTTAGCTAAAATTGCCTCATTCCCCCAATGCTATGTTAAATAAAGATAATGTTGATATATATACACATACGTAATCATGAATATGATTGGATGCAAAATAATTTATGAAGTATAACCTTCATAGTTAATTGATTTTGTTTAATTGAGGGGAATCATATGTAAGTTTGTTGAAATTGAATTGAATTTAATTGTCACATTAATACATATTTGGCATTAATTAGGTTGCGATAGGACTGTGAAATTAGGTTTTATGCCTACTCGCGCCTCAAAAAGTTAGCTCAAAGGGAGGAGAATTATCCAAATCTTATTAGGAGTCCACCCATCTCATTGACTACCAACTTGAGACTTTTGTCATTCTTTGACACCCCACCTCACGCCTAGTATTTAGCATTTGGTGCGTAGACAATTTTAATTTTGGAGGCCCCAATATTGAGTGAGATAGACTCTGCTATGTTATCATGTTAAATTAGTTCTTAGGACTAACTTACACCTCAAAAATTAGCTCAAAGGGACTCAAAGGGAGGAGGATTGCCCCAACTTATAAGGAGTCCACCCATCTCATCAACCATTAGCGTGAGACTTTTGTCATACTTTAACAAGGGCTCAATACAAGTAACTGCACATAAGGCGAATCCTTTAAGCTGAAACATGTGAATAGTAAAGAAAAAAAATAAAACCTACTTTATTAGACATATTTCACTATCATATATATTATTATTGTTATTATCTATACTTTCAAAATATTATGCATCTTACCACTATTTAAGAGTTTATTACGTATCTTACACTTAGATGCATGCATTTTTACTACCAGATGCATAAAAAATAGAGAGAGTGACGAGCTAAATGGGAGAGAGATGATGAGGATTTGCTAATGTATCTTATATATATATATATATATATATATATATATATAGA